AAAGGTATTTTATTTTTTTAATAAAAATGTGTACAGACGCAGGTCGTGGAATCAAATTGTTTGACTGTTTTCCTAATGAAAAATGTACTTCAATATGTTTTAAAATTTTAAAAATATGCAAGTGTATGGTGTTTTTTCATTTGATGAATATTTTTTCTGATATAATTTTCGTCAATAACCCGTTATTTTCCATTATTCCGAGCTACCAGATTTCAAACAGCTAGCATATTCTTCAAGACGTTCAGGAATTTTAGAGCATTATGACATGTAAATGTTAAACGGGCGTCAAAGTTAACAACCTAAGTACATGTTTTAGCGCACTCAAATTCTAGCGTATAAGTTTTAAATAAATTAGCGCATTAGCCTATCTCAACAATATGGAATATAGAACAATATACAAAAACTTGAATGGGCCCATTGATAAGTTAGTACAATAAGTAACGCGAAAAGCGCTAAGAGAAAACTACTGCTTAAAATGTTCAGGTTAAGAAGTATCACAACAATATTCACGTCCGTACGATTCTTTATACTATCCTTTCTATGATCTTCCGATTGGGCATTCTTTGGACTACTTATATATAATTATAGGCTACATATTCAAAAATACTAACGGTAATAAGGTTTGTATACTTCAGGACCTCAGAAGCTGTGTTCAAAAGATTGCAGAACATCTTGGTACCAAACAAGACCCAGACTTTCTTGACGAAGTGACAAATAAATGTCAGTTTAGCGCCATGTCGAAAGCAAAGAGCACAAACGAAATTGAGACGGCCATGAGCGCAGACGGTAGCAATCCATTTTATCGGAAAGGTAATTTGTTTAAAGTCTAGTGGATACCGAAGTGTAGTAATATCTGTAAATCGGGCTCAGGATCGATGAAGCTATTGCAGAATATGCATAACAGTCATTACAATCCATTTTAATTTTATTTTCAGGGTTTAACATGAAATTTTGTCATTTCAAATAATGGTTTAGTTCATATCTTGGGTTTTCCCTTTGCAATATGTACCCAGTTCAATCCGAACACTAGTAGCGTATCAGTAATATACTAGGTTTTAAATCATTTTGATGCAATACAGAAATATGTTAATATATTGGTGACGTCTGTTCAAACTTATTATTCCAGGTGATGTAGGCGATTGGAAGAACTGGTTAACTGTTGCTCAGAATGAAATGTATGATGCCTTGATGGAAGAAAGTATGGCAGACATCGATATAGAAGTGAAATATACCTTGTAATAGACATTTACCACAATTGGTTATAACTAGATCGCAATTTCTATCTTTTTAATATTTTCAATCTGTGAATGAACATGGAAAATGATTTTGGTGTGAAAAAAAAGGTCATTGGTTTGGGAACAGTCCAGCAAAAAATAAAAACCGAATAAATCATATGGTCATATTTAGCCTATACTTCTATGTTTTTATTTTTAACTTTGATGACATCTGTTTCAAGACAAAAGGGTGGTGATTCAACTTTCACCCACATATGCATTTATAGTGTAAGTAGTGTAAGGTGATTTAGAGGTGATACATACTACAGTATCTTATATGTAGTACATTGCTATTCATACTTTAATTTGTTACATCCTAATATACTGAACAAAAAAAAAAAGAAACACGCAAAGTCCCCCCACCCCCACCCCCCATGCAGTATCTACCCAAAAATCATCCAAGCGTGACGATGTCATTGTGTGACTTTGTGAGCTTCTCTAGTCCAAATCACTTGGCGGGATCAAGATAAGCTTGTAGTTTTTCAAACAAATAATCTCAACGGATACTCTAAGTTCATCAACACTAATTTGCCACGTTGGCATTTTGATTTCGCCATTGACTGAGATGCTTAACGCAAATTCAGAGGGGTAGAGCAATTGCGATGTTAATGGATGGTCATAGCAAAACTGCTGTTGCACGGCAATTTGGTGTTGGCCCGTGTACATTTAACCGTCTCTCTGCACGTTTCCTTGCTACTGGGTTCGTTTCCGATCGTCCCAGGAGCGGTCGTCTGCGTGTAACGACTACACGACAAGACAGGGCGATTCGATTGTCGCACATGCGCAACAGATTCAAGACTGCTGTAGAGACTGCGTCGCATACCTTAGGTACTCATGGCAGACCCATTAGTCCTCAAAATGTCCAGGAACCGCTTGCGTTCCGAGAGAATCATTGCGCGCCGACCTTATGTTGGGCCACCTCTGACACCACGGAGGCGGCAAGTTCGTCTTAACTGGATGCGCAGACATGGCCCGAAAAGGTTTGGGATGCGTCGATAGAGGCGTGTAATGTTCACCGGCGAGTCTTGATTCTGTCTGTATCGCTCAGACGAAAGAAAAGGGGTAAATCGCAGACTCGGTAGGGCTTCTGTAATGGTTTGGAGAGGCATTTCCAAAGGAGTAAAATCCCTATTAGTGGTCCTGGATCAAAACCCCAATGATGTTCGATACAGAGACCAGATCCTCCAATCACATGTCCTTCCACTTCTCAGACGTCATAACCTGATTTTCCAGCAAGACAATGCTCGACCGCATGTTGCCAGAGTCTGTCGTGATTTTATCACGGCAGACAACGTTCAGCCTCTGGAATGGCCCCCATATAGCTCCGGCATGTCTCCAATTGAGCATATGTGGGATGAGCTGGACAGGCGTATTAGGAAACGTCAAAACACCCCAACTAACCGCGCCTAGTTGATCGCAGCATTAATACAAGAATGGAACACCATTTCCTTTAGGGCGAATAAATGTTCTCATGAATTCAATGCATAGGAGAATCCGTGCAGAGATTCGTGCAAAAGGTGCCCACACCAGGTACTGAAGTGTCATTTTGTTTTTCGCGGAATTCCCACTTTGATTAACTACTGATGACACGAGTGACTTCACACATATTTTTCTTCTACAGTATTGTAAAGAGTAGACTTGTCCCTCCACATTGAAATACAATTTTGTACAAATTTCCAAAATATCATAAGCTATTAATTACATAAATTTATTGTGCGTTTCTTTTTTTTGTTCAGTATATAAACATTACAATCGAAAGTGACTGTTTCTTGTTAAAAAAGTCAATAATGCTTTGTAAACGGAAATAACTCAAAACCTACCGATAACTTTTAAGACTTTCATTTTCATCAATCTACAAACGTAAAATTTAACATAATATACCATTTAATCTTGCTTCAAGATAACTCAATATTATGAGAAATAAAGATGATTTCGAAAGACGAACTGAGAAGCTTAAAATAGATAGAAATTACCAAAAAAGCGCTCCAAAATCGAATTAAAAAACCAAACGAAAGCAAAAAGTTTACTTCCTGCATATAGAATGTGAAGACCAACCTGGTCATAATCAGTAAGAATAAAATCGTAATGATGGACTGGATCATTATTTTGTTGTACAGAAGACAGGTTTTTGAAATGATTGAACAGTTGATTACCATTACACATTGGTGTTTTAGCTTTCTTCTTACCAAATTTCTTATAAAAAGACCCGGGGTTATGTTTTCTCATATACTCCAACATATCACCTTCTGCGCTCAAATATTGCCTCTTAAACTTACTTTCCAGGATTTTGTACTCTTTTTTCTTACGGATTAGAAGAGTGTGTGTCCAGTAACATTTGTTAATGTTGAAATTCTTTAAAGAAACTAAATAATGTTTACGTAGAGCTCTAACACGATCATTAAACCAGGGCTTATCTTCGGAACTAGAAAAGGTATGGGTGTCAACTTTAACAGGGGGCTTATCAGTGTTATTTTTGGGCGGTTTTCTTAGAAAAAATGGTTTCATAGTCCCAAGTAAAACATCAGTAAAATGACTTACACAGGTATCAATATAAAATTGATTTAATTCATCATTGATTAAAACTGATTTCTTTATTAAGTCTAAATTAACTCTTAAAGATTCGATAAACTGATGTTGGTACTCCTCCTTCCATTTATACACAGGTATATCATTAAAATTACCATCATCATACTCATCATCATCATCATCATCATCATCATCATCATCCTCATCACCACCTCCTAAATAACAGTGTATTTCAAAGTGCAATAGAGCATGGTCGGAAAATTCAACAAATTCGTAAACCATGATTTTTTTAACAACAGAAAACATACTAAATGGCATTAATACATAATCAATAACACTCATTCCATTTGCACCAAAAAATGTAAAATCACTAGATAGATTGTCTAGGTCTCTAAACATAACATACATACATATATATCTTATTACCGCAATTCTCCTTGACAACTAACATATGGGTAACAAATTATTGGAACATTTGATGGCAATAACACATCTAAAATCGCCATGTCGCTAGTACTACATGTAATATCCGATTATAACAAAAAGAATCAACGATGCTCGGCAAAACAATAACAATTAAAAATAGAAATAACGTTACATAGTGGCGTGCCAATAATATAATATATATCCAGTGCATCTACATCCATACAATGTGTATATAAGTACATTGAGAAAAAAAAAAAAAAAACCAGTTTCACATGTCTACGTATGGATGGAAACCACAATAACTGATAACAAAAATCCACGTGGTTGGGTACGTGATCCGTCACCTGTAAAGATCGAATTTGGCAGTTCTTGTAATAATCAAAATTTTCTTTCTTTAAAAACTCCATACCCATTCTTATGAGTATGTTTCCAGCTTTTGACCTTGACATCATACTGTTTGTCTGCAAATAGATAACTGTAGTTAAAATAACGTCAGCCGGCCCCTTGACACTTTAAATTATTACAGCGGTCACAATCTAGACCGAGTTAAACAGTACAAGTTCGATCAGCTTAATGATGAAATTCTTCCAGTAAAAGATCACGGTTCGTGATCGATTTATTAAAGATTACTTCAACGCGGTTGCTTCAGCTTTTTATTGAAACGTTTGTTTACAGTCTATATGATAATGAAGTTGCTAAATAAAAAATACAAGTTTACTTGCACTGTATTGGGTTGAAAATTCCAAGAAACGATTGAGTTGTGAAGCTAACAAATATTTGAATGAATCAGTTACGAATTTCACCGACATCTACTTCTAAATGTTGACGGGCTATGCTGTTGGGGTGGTGATTAATTAGCACATAGCACAGTCCAGTTGTTCACCCCAACGTTAGAATGGGTCGTGTTCAAGCACACACATACTCTGCATGACCTTTTGGAAACAGAGTGCCTGTACAGGAGTATATGAGTGACCATGTGACAGAGACTTCATAAAGTGCCTCAGCTGGAATATTGTGAGTTAACCAATGGTTTTAATATCTTATTTTATTTTAACAAAATGATCTTGCTTTATCGCTTAGTATTTGTTTATTAATTTTAATGCAAATGAACGAGAACGTTATTTGTAATTTAGCATTACTGGTACCGGTCCTTCTTCTACTTCTAAATAGTACTGACCATTTTCAACAATTTGAAGATAAAATGTCAGACGAAGAGTGAAACATGGACAGAGATTGTTTTTAAAAGATACGAGATGGTCTAATTTGCGTTTTGTAAATCATATATTTAGGTTGCTAATTTAGTATCATACATATATGAACACCGATACAAGCAAGCATATATACATTTTATTTTTAATGCCGTTATAAATAATGTTTTAAATACTAAATTGAAATTTGTTTTTAAAAAAATCTGCAATATATTGTAAACAATTGCTTTATATTTGGAAGGTGTGCATACTTTTTATATCGTTCACAAAATTGTGTTGGGGGCTAGGGCGAATTATGAACACAGAATCAAAAGAATCAACATCAAAGGAGTTACCACCCTTTATACGAATTAATCAATATATAATATTATCTTTTACTGACACTATACACAACTTTCAGCGCATGTTGTGATTTATTTTATTTTTACCAGTGACAAACTGAAAGTATTCTTTTTACAAACTAGTGAAAAATCACTTTTGCTTATTTGACAAATCAAAACACTGATTACAAACTACCGTGGCAAGTGGCTAATCTGCTAAAATCCTTTTATACTTAACGATACACTGACCTCGAGAAAATCCGTCTGAGTTATCAACCTACTCTACTGCCCAGAATAATAATATGTTACATATCGTGGGGGAATCGTTTGCTTGCCTATATGGGGAAACACAATGTTTAATTCTACAAATTCCTGAAGACACCGTTAAATATCGTTTGTGTTTTCCAATAAAAACACATTCATTGTTTATTGTGAAATATGTTGGTTTTTTTTGTTTTTTTTTTATATTTGATAGGTGAAGGTATTATTTAAAGTATCTTATTGACAGTATAGATCCAATGGTTAATCGTCTCAAACATTTAGTACAGACGTCCAATGTTAACAGAGCAACTCAATGAATGGAATCAAAACACTTTTATTTATACTGAATATTTTGCTAAACACAACATAGTGTCCTTACTTAGACTCATGCTACTGTGAAGGAGACAGCAAACAAACGATTGGGTATGGGACAGAAGCAATTAGGGTTTCAAATCAATTGTTTATAGCACTGGTACTAGCCTCGTCTGTCAATACACCTATACTATAAGTAAGGTTGCTCACTATGTACCCCTAGTAAAATGAATCCGTTCCAGAAAACATGCGATTTTGTCAAAACCGTTCATATTATGTGCCGGGAGCAGTCTTTATCGATATTTCTTTTTCTTCATTAATTTGATGTATGACTTGCCATATATAATGCAGTAAAATTTTCGGTACACTTCATGAAACATCGAAAAATGGTCGAATTTCAGTTGGTCGGACACTGTGCTGTCCTCGCGATGACACGTTAAATCCCCAGTGGGAAGCACCTAATACACGGCATGTTCGCTATTCAATGTCAGTACAGTGTTTCTACGATAGGAAACAAACTTACCTGTTTTATAGTTCATGCCTTTTTATTATCATGTCGGACGCCCGAGTCCAGTTTTTAAGCTGGTTAGGCTGACGATCGGAAATCTGAACAGAGCCTGCCATTTTCTCTAACTTCTGTGAACTCGTCTCTGATTGGTCCGTTAAATTAAGAAGCCAGTTAGCGCGGAGCTCACAAAAGTTAGAGAAAAATGGCAGGCTCTGTTTAGATTTTCGATCGTCAGCCTGACCTGGTTATTTTATGTAATTGACACAAGCTTGCGAGAAACAGTACTCATACATATAGAACAATTAAGGAGCTAACAGAAAGAAGGGGAATTGTATTTTTGACAGTCATTTTTTTCGCTGTGGTATATCGGGAGTAACCTTATCTTCATTTCACTGGGGCTTTCTTCTGAGATACTGTCAGAAGCACTTCAAACATATCCTTGCATCAGGTCTATTTACTTTACAAGTCTCACAACCCTCAGCAATAAGCATCCTGTGGAGCCATTGATAGGATGAATAGTCAACAGAAAGAAAAACAATTCTAATTTTGACAGTCATTTTTTTTCTATTGTGGTATAACTAGGGTTCCTGGAGTTTCCACAATTTTTGACACGTTTTTTGTAGCCTTACCCTAAACAAGTCCCAGACATAATGTATACAGGTTTTTAACTACTAAGGAGTCTATAGTAGTATAGTATAAGAGACTAATGTAAGACAATTAAAAAAACCTAATGACAGACAGACAGACAGACAGACAACCGGTAGGCATGTGCGGGGTCAGGGTAATCCAGAGGATTTTGATAAAACTCACTTTAAACGTACAAAAAAGTAATTGATTGCTTAGTGTCCCCACAATCATGATTTGACACATCTATAAAAAACAATGCTGATTGTGTATACTTTTTATAACAAATATTAGGGTACCCCTTAATATCAGGAGACACGCAAACACTCCTTTCTGCATATTTTCGCAAACTTTAAAGTGAGGTGATTTCACCTGAACATTGGAATTGCAAAGTTTGAATAAAATCTATGCATTGGAAGATTGCAACACACAGCATATCTGTTGCTCCGCCACACCGTAAGAGGTTCATAAAAGCACAAATTGAAGCGGCAAGCGCTATGACAGCGTGATATCAAAATAACTACATTGTCTAGATTAATAAAGATACATTGTATTTTTATAAAGTTTCTGTTCTGTACAACTGCTATTTTGCTAATTAAGTTCATCCAAACTATGCTCAACGCATTTCTTGAAGTAAAAGGGTTATAGCAGATTTTGAGGTGTGTGCTTTTTTTGTATTTCATTTGTTTTTTGTTTTTGACAAAATAAAATAAAAAAACTTAATTAACCTATTATTGACAATGTTTAGCACCTATGCTCTAGTCTAAAAAAATGAGATTGTTGGTTTAATTTATAGAGTATTGATAAGATATTAAAAGGGTTATATGAACCACCAGACCTTAATGAAAGTTATCAATAATTTTGAAGGCTACATTGCTTGGTAATAATAGATAGATTGAAGCGGGGAAATATAGATATTATCACAATTATTTTAAGAATATGTCGACATAATCGATGAATATGTCAAACTATTATTTATTTATAAGGTGTATATTTTCATATTTGATGAGACAACTTTGTCGGGGTCTTCTTATCACATCAGAAGGCTTTAAAGTGTGAATGTTCGGATGTGACATCAACTTCAACGTATCTTTGGAAAGTTAAACAATCACTTTCAAACAAACTTTAATGTTACGCACTTCTAACTTCCAATCAGGTCTATTCACGCATCTGCCTATTTGTTAGTTCCGTAAGTGGACAATATAGCTAGATTTATAATGACTTGTTTATGTCACATCGAGTTTTAACAGGATGAAGGCATTTTTTAGTTTAAATATATCGGGGAAAACAGGATGATCTATTATCTCGGTTAGTCTCAGACTTTGTGCTAAAATGTTTTATTATCATTATAATACGCTTTACACTGCATATATATGTACTTGCGATCTTTAACGTATTGTTGTTTTTCAGATCATATAACAACGACAACCCGAGAAACCATGGAGATGCGACAGGTAACAGACGCTGGTGGAGCTGCTCTCCATTATAAGTACTTCGATGGTATCTACTTCCCACCAAATGTCATAGGTGATGTGAAAAGTCATTTGGACGCGATAAAAAAGTTAAAGCACAAGGATGGAGATGTGCTTCTTGATACCTTCCCTAAAACAGGTATGTAAACCTTTGCTTTTAAAGGAAATTTTAGTTTTCCTAAAGCATACTTACCGTCTAAGACATAGATATGCTTATTGTCGCCAAAACAAGTATGCAAACCTTCCAAAAACAGGCATGCTTACAAGTACGCGCAATCACCTGAAACAGGTATAGTTACCTTCCCTAAAACAGGTTTGTTTACTTTCCCAACAACAGGTATGTTCACCTTACCTAAAGAGATATGCGTATGTTTCTAAAGCATTTGCTTAATTTTCCGAAAGATATGTGCAACCTTCCTTAAACAGGTATGCTAACCGTACCTAAAACAGGTACGATTACATTTCAAAAGGCTGATAAAAATGTCTCCTTTAAACAGGTAAAAGCACATTGTAATTTCAGTTTTACACTTTAATGCCACCATACGAAATTACAATGTGATAGGAGTAAACGTCAATCGTTTGCGTTTACAACAAAATGTTGCATATCACTTTCGATATTTTGTAAACACCCGATCAAATCAATATGCAGCTTCATACCAAGGCAGTGATGATAATTCATCAAAAGATGTAAAATTATGAGATTACTTCTCTTAAAACAAATAATTTATTTACGGATATTACGTCGTAATATTTGCTTTGATTAAATAATAAAACGAAAACCATCAATGAATAAAGACAGATTATAAACATTAATTTCGATACGAAATTATCAAAATAAAACTGCAAGCAGGATGACCACCACATCAAACCCGGACATGGAACCTGCTTCTTCATTTGGGAAAAAATACAGATTATTGTGACTTGTCACATAATCCTCCATCATGTCCATGAATGTTTCAATGTTGACTAACAGTTATTAAGCCTTTAACTACGTTCACATTGAAATATCATCGGAAAAATGAGGAAGGCATGGCTACTGTACGTCATCGTATCCCTCATGTCAAAATAGTTTGATTGTCAAAGAGTTAGGTAATGAGGAATGCATGGTATCTTTAACTAACTGCAAGTATAGGCCTTTTCTGGAAGATGATGTGATGCATGACATTTGGATATTGACTCTAATATGTTTTTTTCATTTTAAATCATTAGATGTCACCTTTCTTATTAATTGTTTGGATGTTATATTACCATAACGCATTGTGTTCGAATTACATCTTGTTTTGACTTTCGTGTCGGTTCATGGTTCACCGTAGTTTGGTGACCCTCTATTACTGTCGTTATTTCGCCTTGTTGACTTTGAGTTGTGACTTTAGTCTTTCCTGTTTACAAGTGATGATTTATTTGTGTTTGGTGGTTGAATTGAATTTTAAAGGTGATAATAATCCGGTGCATTAATTTATATAATTTATCAGTTTTACGTACCTTTCCTTTATTCCAAACTGTAGTACAAACCATATTGGATTTACATCCTTCTGGCCAAAAGCATCATAAAAGGGCAGTATGGTGCGGTGATAATTGTTTTTGTCATACTGTATTATCAATAACCAAGTGTGGCAAGTAGTGAAGGCTGGCTGCCGTCACTACAAAATCAACACTAACATGTAACCTGACACAATTAACAATATTAATAGTAATATACACCATTTATATAGCGCCCTATATAATTTGTAAAATTACTCTAAAGCGCTTTACAACATATGGATTATAGTAATGGTTATAATTGGTAAAACAAAAAAACAAAGGCTTACAATCACTTGTATACATTTAAGCAAGCATTGTGCACATATTTGAACAAATAAAAGGGTGGCATTTACATAATATCTTTGCAAAGATTCTAAAATGCAGACGTGAAGAGGTGAATTTTGGTGTCCCTTTTGAACTTGGCCAGGGTATTTGGTTTTCTATTAGCAGATGGTAAGCCATTCGACAACGTAGCCGAAACCCTCCTTAAGCATCTTTTTGCGTTGGTCACAGTACGAGATTTTGGGACACACCAAATTCTAACTCCTACCACAGTGATCGTGACGGCTAATACAGGGTAGCAAGCTCATGTAGGTACTGATGAGCTGTTCCATTCAGCGCTTTGTATGTGTACACCAGAATATTGTACCGCGACCTGTATCGTACATGTAACCAGTGCAACGAATAACGCACATGTGTGATGTGCTCACTCTTTCGAGCACGAGTAACTAGCCGTGCTGCAGTGTTCTTGACCCTTCTTTAGAAGACTAGTCAGTTTGTCAGATATAGTACAGAGCAGGGCATTACCTTAATCCAACCGAGGGGTAACAAGTGAATGCACCAAAATCTTGCATGCATCTGCAGTTAAAAACTGCGGAATACAGCCGTTGTTCCTGATCTGGTAGTAATAGGATTTGGCAATAACGTTCACTTGTTTCTCCATGTTCAGTGAACTATCAAAGTATACTCCTAGGTTTTTAACAGCTGGAACAGTCTCAATAGTTCTGGCACCGACCTTGAGCTTGAGCTGGAGAGCCATTGTTTGCTGACACTTTGGGGAAAAGACGATTAGTTCCGTCATTTCCTGATTAAGCTTAAGCCTGTTGTCGTTCATCCAGATATTGATATATGTCAGACAAGCTTCCAACCTTCTGAGACTGATCCAACTGTCCTGTGGTTTGATGACCATGTAAATTTGTGTATAGTAATGATAGCAAAGGTTATTGCGACGACAAATATCTCCAATCGGTTTGGAGTACATATAATTTTTCCGTGGTCCTAACACCGACCCTTGAGGAACCCGAAATCTAGTACTTTGTCACGTGAGGTGGAAGATCCGATTGCAACACACTGTCGTCGTTCACTCAGGTAAAATTGTATCCAGCATAGTGTGGTATCAGTCACTCCATAAGAGTATACCAGACGTTTATAAAATATGCCATGGTCGACGACGTCAAATGCAGCTGACAAGTCCAGCATGACAAGCACCGCTCTGCACTTGTTATTCAATGCAGAAGCTTTATCATTATGTACACGTAGGTGGGCCGTCTCAATAGAGTGTCCAATGCGGTAGGCCGATTGCATGTTGTCACGGAGACTGTTTGAATGGAGATGAACCTCTAAACGCCGGGACACAACCTTCTGCAAGATCTTAGACAGAAAAAAGGCAGATTTGAAACTGGGCGGTAGTTTTTCAACTCCTCCAACTACCAGAAAAAATACCGTAAAACAAAAGTATAAACGTTTTCATTTTTCCTATTTTTTGAATGTGTGTCCTTGCTTCAAACTTGTAATTGATGTGATTTTTCAGGTACACATTGGGGTTTTGAAATCATCCATATGCTAGTTACTGGGAAGGCGGAATACTACACACACAAAACTCTAGCGCTTGAGTTTGAGCCGGCGGAGAGTCATGACGCCCTGGAAGCCCCTAGGGTACTCACGTCACACTTGTTTCCTCAGCACATACCCCAGTCATTAATTGAAAACAAATCGAAAATTGTATACGTCTACCGCAACCCCAAGGATACCGCCGTGTCCATGTTTTCTTTTTTGAAAATCCTCAACTCAGAGTTTCTAGATGGCTACGAATCGTCATGGGAAAACTTCTTCATGTCTTATATGAAAGAAAAAGGTAAGATTAACGATACAAACACTATATTGACATAGGTAACTTGCAAATCGTAAGTCGATGGCAGAAATATGTCTTTTAGCGGTCTTGTCACTGATAACATGACAATACCATACTCTCAACCTCTGTGACAAATATTATTTATTTCCTGCAACAATGTTGTCAGCTAAATAAAAAAAAGACCGATATGTTAACATGAGCGACTTCTTTTCTTTCAGATACATCAATGTCTGTTGAAAGGTTCTTATGATCAATATTGCATATTAGATTTATTTTGGGACTTAATTACTGAATTTGAATCGTTGATGCCATACACTTTAATGGATTCCCTGGCAAAAAATAAGCGCGACATGTATTACGAGAAACGACCGCCCACTCAGGGTAGCTGGCTTGGCATCAGTTTTTAAGCTTTATTTCAGTTAACGTATACCAGTCACTTATATTATTTTCAAGATAAACAAAATTAATTCCCTCGCGCATTTTAAAGCGTAAATTGATTTTTTTTAACAGATTAGTTTTCATTTCCGTTGAATAACTTTTGTTAATTTCAAACACAACATTACCCTGTTGTAACTTATGCATGTTTATTGTGTATATATGGAAACCGTTGACTAATACGGTCACGTTCTAGTTCGTACCAAAATTTGTACAAGACATGGTAATATTTGAACTATTTTTGATGCAAGATAGAAATATAACGGTATTGTTAGTAGGGTTTCATATATGTAACAACGCTAAACCGGGTAAGTGGAGAATATCATGACGACATAGACTGTGTCCCATTATATTATTTTAACTAATTAAAACAGTAGCTTTATTATTTAACCGGTAGAAATATACTTTATTACATTTTACCAGTGCAATATTGAAACTTATTCATATTATAAAAGTGATATTTTCTCTACTTTTCACTTGTAAAAAATATCACCTTTGGTGATTCGACCAAACAAAACCTAATTACAAACTACCCTTGGAAACATCACAAGTAGCCCATCTGGTAAAAGCCTGGTTAGCTTAACGATACGCAGGCCTCGAGAAAATCCGTCTGAAACATCATCACATTCCACTGCCCAGAATATTTATCCGTCAACTATGACGGGGGAATTAATCTCTAGGGGGAACACAACGTTTAATTTCACAGGTAACTTTCCTTTTCATGAAAGTCAGCAGACGTTGCAGGTTGGCAATTCTAACTATTTGATCGTAAAAACTCCTATCAATTGAAACACGATATCAGCGTCTCTAAGGCCAAAGCTAGGCTAAGCCATTGGCAGAAATAATAGCTAAAGTCATAAGTTAAACTTACAAAGGCGGTGTTCTTATTCTATTATCAGGAAAAGTGGTGACAAAGCAACGTTGCATTTTCCCCACTCCCAACCATTGAAGAGTCGGCGCTTATTAACAACGCGTAGTGATCTGAGATGATATGAGGGGACTTTTTTCTAAATAATTTAATTATGGTGGTTATTTATCATTCTTCATTTAAAATATTAACGTGAGCGCTTCTTAATAAAATTGAATAACTAAAGGAATTTAATTAAAGGTTTTTCACTTTTTAAAGAGGGGACTGTACTTTCTTGACTCGTAGAAATGTCTAGACATGCTAGTTGTAAAAGTGTCGTTTAACGTTCCGGGATAGGTTTTCTTTTTCAAACATGTAATAAACAGAATATCTAGCAAATTATCTTCAATAGTACCAAATATATTTTACTCGTGTGGCTAATATTTTGTGCACTCTTGAAAATATCAAGATGTTAGCAAAAATCGTGAAATAAACGTGTTATCACTTGAACACTGTTAGATATTCTCTATATTGTTAGATATTCGTAAATCATTTTTTTATTGGCTATTGTGTGTTCAGTTCAAACAATATGTTTAATTATTGTTTCATTTTCTTGTCAAAAGTACCTTACAACTCCTGGTTTGAACATCTAAAAGCATGGCTGGATTTTAAGAAGTCACATCCAGAATTACCAATACTGTTCATCGCATTCGAGGATATGAAAAAGGTTGGTCCGGACAAACGAAAATGAATTTTGCTCTACAATTGTCTCATTGAAGGAACGGTACTGACTGGAATGAAACCTTCATTCTTGAAATTAAATCAGTTCCAATCGGCTAAGTTGAAAATATATACTGGGATACATCCGTTTATTTGGGATACTCTTGTCAATCTGACAATTGTAAAATGGAAGGTGTGTCTACCGGCTATCACATTTACATTTATCATGTAACACACTAATTTGTTTCCTTGTGCGTCTTACCATTTCATTTTGTACAGCCATTAACAATCTTCTTTCGTGTTTTGAGAATGTATTTATTTTCATTGGGTTGAATACATTTTGTTTTGTAATTGGATACCTGCTCCCCTTTTGTTTGACAGAGCGAGGTCAGGTTATGCCATACCGCGCTGTTCAATGCTCGATTGTTGTTTGTTGTCTTCGTCCGTCAATATTTTCGTTAAAAGCTCACTTCTTCTAAAAAACTTATCAGATTTAAAACAAAGCATAAAAAACGTTTAGGACCAGGAAATTAAATGATGTATAAACGATGGACAGACGATGGTGCAGAAAATGTAAATATGTGTCTTTTATAGACACATACTATTTTAGTTCATATACGTGATCTATTTTATCATGTAGAATTATTTTATAACACTCGATGTAAACAAATTTGGAAAAAAAGACTTTACCCCTGAATGATTTTTTCTTAAGCATCAAAGAAAAGAGTTAGCGTTCTTTCCCATTGATTATTCCGGGATTGAGAGAATCACATTTTGTATAAATGAACTGTTTGCCTCCCCTTTCACTTAGGCAGAGAGACGGGCTTTTTTGAATCGATACAAAGTCGTAGATGGCCGCAGAAGCATCTGATTATGTTTATAATTGTCTCCTTCATCTGAACTTCCCTTAGGTCTGTTTTGACAAAATATTTCCCATGTGAGGTTTTTGGAGAGTTGTTTAGTTTTAGCACTATTTGTAAACAGATAGAGGGGACTACCAGTTCTGTATTAGGCAAGGGGAGGGGGGGGGGGCTTTTATTTCAAAATGTGCTCTGATTGGCTGGATATTTTATTTATGTTTATACCTCTAGATTACTTATGTTAGTCCAAATTTTGTAGCTTTTTGAGGCAATAAGAAACCTGAAATACACTCATCTTTGTTGGACATTTTTTTAGTAAACAATAGAAACAGATCTGGTTGGTGTTTTGTTTGAATCAATTTATTGTTGGTTCATTTTGTACCAATACATTGTCAAAAGTTTTATTGTTGTAAAATTAAGGTTATTTCTTTATAACTCTGTTTCTTTCACTTAATATTTTCTTCAGGACTTACGAAGCAGCGTTCAGAAGATCGCTAAATTTCTTGGGGTAAAACGAGATTCGCAATTCCTGGAGGAAGTGGCGAATAAATGCCAGTTCAATGCCATGTCGAGAGAGAAGAAATGTAAAGATGAAATGAAAATGGGTATTGGTGGAAAAAACCCATTCTACAGGAAAGGTACATAGCTATGTTTTAATACCCTGTTGCTAATTTGTTTAAAGAAAAAATATAAACATAATAATTCCTCATTTCCGTGTGTCCAAAGGAGAGCAAACCAGGGTAAGAAAGAAATGTAAAAGTTTCTATCTGACGATACGTCACAATCGCTCAACAATGACGTAACGTTACGAATTTGGAAAACGATGCTGCAATGCGGAAAAGGCGGAAAATGCGACGTGGTGAAGTTCAAAACCTTTTACGATATATTTCCCGTTAACGTTAGAAAGATGAAGTTAATTTCGTCAAAAGAGCTCAGAACAAAATTATATTTCAAAATGATATCCATTCCAAACGCATTTTCATGTTTTTTTAGGTTATTCTGGTAGTTGAAATGAAAGACAAATACTCTATCTTGCCGCGGGGGGAAGGATAGGGAAATTCCACCCTCGGGTGTTACAAAGTGTACCGAATTTGAAAACCCCTTGGGTTGAATTTCCCTATCCTGCACCACTAGGCATGAACTAGTATTATACTACTCTTCCTAAACTACAGCGATAACACATATATACAGGTAAGACTAAATTGCACATACACGAATGATGATATTACAATCAGAAGAAATAGAATATTAAATATACTGGTAAGATTGCATTGCATATATTGAAATGACAAACAAATGAAAAGTTGAGATACATCATTGTAATACAGATATACAGAACAACTAATATCATAGTTTTTAGGTAAAAATGACAAAATACAGATAGTGTCATGCAATGTCGTACAAAAGCTCTGTTACATTTGCATTTTTCGATATAAACTTAAAATACAGAATTATGCCAATCTTGATTTTATTATCATTTGTATCTATTGTTAACTAAGTTATTGGACAATTATTTCTGTTGATTTTATTATGTTAAGTTGACATAATGTTACAAAAATCAGCTATTATGTAAATTTTCAAAAACATTGTAATTCTATCAATACTCGTCAGTCCATAAAACAGTCGACCAGTCCACTGATGCCCAATTTTCATGGCTGTGTGTAAATGTCAATCTTTTCCGACGATGGGTAGCAGTCAAAAGTGTTTTTTCGACAGAAACACAGCCTTTCAATCCCGCATTGTGTAATCGTCTCCTCACTGTGGTATTCGTCGTTCAAACCATTGGTATCCTTGCGAGATCTGAGGCTGGTCCGGACTAATAATCTATCATCCCGAGGGGTAGAAATCCGTGGCATGCCAGAACGTTCTCGATCCTCATAGTTCCCGGTATCTTGGAACCGTTTAATGGCCCTGTACACGTTCTGTCTGCAACAAAAGAGAAACAGTGAAACAACTATAGACAGATTCTGGATAAGTAAATATGCAAATGCACCGAAATCCGCGATGAAAACTTTCACTTACCTACTGGTTCCTATTGTTCTTGCAGTTTGGGCGGCAGCAACACCACTTCAATCCTTCTTCCCTTATCATTCGCTGCATTTCTTCTCATGAGTATTTGCAAAGTGATTGAATAGTACAATTATACTTAAGAGATAACAGATAATCAATGAATGGTGAATAGTGATGTATTTTGTCACTTCAAATTAAAATCAAAATAAGACATCGAGTACAATAAAGTAAATCTTCAAGCATCTGATAGATTGATGTAAAATGTGAAATAACAGAATTGTTTGATAAAACCCTTTTTGTGATTCAATTTGGATAATCAATGATGGCACATCATCTTTATCACATTATATCCCTTTTCATTAATAGAAAAAGATTTAAAGAAAATATTTTTTCCAATAGTTTTGTCAAAGATAATTAATGAGCAAAATTTAAAATATGTAACAGAACTTTTGGAGGGCAGTGAATTACGAAATAAAGGTAACATTCTAAAAAGCAATCTATTTCCTAAGGCCGATGACAAGTTTGTCTTTAAAATTTTAGTTTATTTCTGGAGTCACCAGTTCGTTTCTTTTTAACTTATTCCGATGTAGACGTATTGCACCATTTGCTTGATTGACCTTCCAGTTTCTCATTCGTTATCAAGTTCCCAGTCGTCAAATACAAAAACTCGTCGAGATCTTTTGTTTTTAAAGTCATTTTGATTGATCGATAACAAAATACAAATCTGTGATAACGGAAGTGTGAATTAAAATTCGAAGTTATTTAGATAAATTTAGAGTAAATGATGACCAAAAAATAAACATACAAGGAGACACTTGCTGAAATGCAAAGATAATAAGAGCATGTGTAACGGAAAACGGTAAGCGTTTTCTGCTCCAACGAAGACTTCCCCGTGTTAATAAAAGTTAAATTTAAATCATCTCATGAGATTATGACAGCGAAAGAAGACACACTTATGGCACAATAAAACATCGCTGAAGGATTATGAATTTTAACTAAGAAGATTATGAGGATCTTCAACAACCTGCATTCCCTCGAAACACACAAGCTGAAAAATAACGGGCTTTACTACATATTGTATATCTTCTAACTTTTTCGTCATCAGCTGGGACGCATGGATTTTGGCGGGCGATCGTCACGTGATATTAGCATAATGTTTTATTGAATCGTGATACATTTTAAACTACAGTAAAGGTAATATTAGCAGTTGTACTGTACAGGTAAGATGGGTTTAACGTTTTGTTTTACAGTTAGTGATTTGGTGGTCTGTCTGTATACGACTTGTAGTTTATTATGTCGAATTTCTTTACCTTAAGGAACATCGAAATATGTTTCAGGTTAAACATTACGTGACTGATTATGTTTCTCTCTCTCTCTCTCTCTCTCTCTCTCTCTCTCTCTCTCTCTCTCTCTCATATATGTATAATTTGACGATTATAATTTTAATTTCTTTCTATATCCTTTTTTTCCCTTTTCAGGTGAAGTGGGAGTCTGGAAGGATCGCTTCACCGTTGCACAGAACGAAATGTATGACACTGTCATAAAGAAAAATGTGACTGGTATTGACCTGGACATAAAATATACATTGTAATTGTGAATCAGCAGTAAGTTTAGCTCATGGTTTAGTCAGACGATTCCTCAATCCAAAAAGTTTTGTCTTTTGGAGCTTCAAACTTCCTGAGGAATACAAGTCATTCAGGCCAGTATATATGTAAGCATTTCATTTGGGATTCATAGGCAGTACCAATGCCAACTAGACAAAGGCAAATTCAACGAAGCGCGCTAGTTCTTCATGTTGCATACTTACATTTACCATTTTAGAATCTGGTCATCTCATAACATATTCAGTTACACTTATTAAATTCAGCATTTAGTTCAAATAATAGACGTATGATGAATGGTTGTTCAATTAATAGAACAGCCATCGCCCGGAGAGGGTCAGTGATATCCAGCGTAATAATTATGACGTCATTATAATGATGACGTTAGCAATCGGTCAATAGCACTCATAGCATATATATTTCAATTCCTACTCAAGTTGGACTCAATGCAACTACCAAATGTAGCCCTTTTTATTTGTCGATGAATTTGACAAGATTAACTTGCCTGCGCGTATGATTTTGCGAAGGGTATAGCTTTTGACATGTTTAAACAAAGATAGAACTTTATATTTCACATTTTTAGTAAAGCAACACAGGGAATTGTTCAAACAACCATAAACGATCAATCAACAAAATAGTATTAGCTCACGGTTGCTAGCGGTAGTGACAAGTCATGTACTGCGCTAAACATTCTCCTTCTAGCTACCCAATGCAATTCTGCCCTGTGTAAGTAAGCAACCCCTGGTACAAACCGAAAGCGTAGATCCACAGGGGTTCGTTACAAATATCCGAAATAGACATATCATGCTATAACTTATATTGGTCACAACACACATAAACAAACATATACATGTATGTGTATGTGTGTTGTGACCCATATCAGTTTATCATATGTGTATACATGTATGTTTATGTGACCTGTGACCCATATAGCATGTGTATTTCAGACATTTGTAATGAGCCACTGTGGTAGATTCATGTTGTCCCGTCTTATATGAAATACAGTCGAACAAACATATGTCAATTCAAATGTTTCGTTCTTTCAAGCGACGTCTGGTTTCCTGTGTAATTAGGCATTCAATAACTCCAGTGTTACATTCCAAAAGATGTAGAACCTCGAAATGTATCGGCTCTCCACTTCGAGCTAATATAAATGGCTGACGTAGACTCGCAGCTGAGCCTGTGCACTACGTCTATACATAATTCTTCCGCGATGACGCATCAGAAAATTTGATCTCTTATGAATTTATCAGCAAAAATTAAATATGACATTTAAAATATGTTTTTGTGTTTTGTTTCTACATTATTTGGCTGAATTGAACTATCAACGTACATCATCATGTTGTATGATGGTCCTTCAATGACAGACTATACTTTTTTACATTACGTCAATACGTAGACTTGCACCAGAACCTAGGACAAGCGATCAGAATGGACTTCACACGTTCAAATTATTGTAAAAACGCATTGATTGAAATATAAGGATTGAATCTTGCTTTGGTCGATTTCATGGGGTGATGAATTGAGTTGGTTATTAATTTGTTTCAAGACCAACTCAATTCATCAACCCATGAAATCGACTAAAGCAAGATTCAATCCTTAAATGAATGTCAACTGAACTTGGAGCGTTATATAGTGACAGTATCATAAGATGGTAAATATTAAAAATGTATTTATTATAGTTGATATGTCATATATTAAGTCACTGTTTCAACGTACATTGCATATGTTTACTCTACTTTGTTGTCATATTACTAGTTATTACATATGTAAAGTTATTTTGAAAGATTAGATGATTAACATAAATCAATAATGGCCGTTAATAATTAGTTATAAGTGTTAAATTAGTAATGTTGTTTGTTATATCATCATGAAAATCTGGTTAGTTTTGATTACTGACAACAAAAGACGCATGTATACACATAGCAAGACTTGAGCCAGATGCGCTGATTGTTTTTCTTTAAAAAGGTTAATATAATTATTTGTCAAGCGAGGAATACATTTTTTAATATGATGAAAGACCCTCGTAGAACAAGGTTAAATCTCAAACGTAATAGCGCATCTGTATCACAAACGCAATTCTTCAACACGACAATTACTAGTCTATAACACGATAGTAAATATATACCGCAATATCAAATATATACAATAATAACATATCTATACCAAAATAGATAATAGATAATATAATAGCACACATGGATAACAATCATAATGGTGAATTAGCAAACACCATTATATACATTGTACATGCATTACAGTGGTGGATCCATGCATACCTTTAAACGTATTTCCGTCCGCTAGTTAGTTATGATTTTATAAGTTATCGTATAAAGTTTCGAAATAGCCATTATACGAGGCAGTATGTTGTCGTGTTTGCCTCATTGCGAGAACGATTATCTGATTCCACCTTGAGAGAGTTACCTCACTGAAATACATGTACCATGATGCAGGAATCCATCATATCTTTCTGCCCGTACGCATTGTACTGACAACGTGTTGACCAGAATTTGCGTTACCCTACATTCTGAACGTTAAGCAGGAAGGAACAATAACCACTTTTATGATTTTTTTTTTGTTATGTCTCCGACGTGGGAAAGAACTCTTTGAATTCCTCAAAATGTTCGATTTCAAATGTAGGGTATTGCCAAGGGAAGCGGCAAACAACAAACGAGTTATGAAGTAATGAGAAAATTAAAAAAAAAACTTTTGCAATGGGAGCAGCAGGTTTTATGTAGTCGTTGTGATTCCCAAGGAAAAAGGCCCAAAGGCAAATTCCTATTTCTATGGGGGATTCCCAGATTAATTGCCTCTTGTAACCTATATTGAGTCCTAATAAGGTGCCTCAGTACCCTTGTTCACAGTAAGACTGAAGACAAATATATACCATACTGAAATCATCCACACACAAATGTTTTGTTGTGACCTATTTATATTCAATAAACTGGCCGTTATGATAAGTAATTCCATTTTTGGTATTCGGCAGGCTGAAAATTCCAAGTGAACTTGACGCAGCTACATTTGAAAATGAACTAAGCAAGTAGACACATGCGCTAGTGATAATGAATTAAAAGTCAAAGGTCACTCGGATAACAGCATATTTTTTATTTAAACTCTTAATAATAATTTTTGTCACAAACATTAACATTAACATATATTTAAATCAAGTTCTCTTTTGATTACAAACCCCTCCCCCCCCCCTTTTCCCATTTTTTTTTTCATAACAAATATATTGAACCACTGTATTATATCTGAATTACTAAAGGAATGTCGGAATTTTTAAATAAAATGCCAGATAATTAAAGGGTTGTCCAAATAGATAATGAGAATTATTGTAATGGACTGTAATATTATTGTAGATATTAAGTAACTTAAAAAGAACAATTTTAAATGCTTGCTAACTACGCTTTCATATTTTGTTGCAGAGTGCAAAAGACAGCTGTTAACCGTGGAATGATAGTCTAGTTCCCCTACCATTACCGCCCCAGTTACACCACGTTTGAATATATTAATAATACCAGCTACCTTGTTCACGCAGATACAGATAACTTATGAAAGTCTCACCTTCCACATTTATAAATACAATTACACAATAAAATATAAATAAAACATGACGAAAGCCAATCTAAAAGAATTACGAGAGACTAAAAATAATTCAACTGCAATTTAAAGCACTCCACATTAAAAGGAACTTATTTTGAAAAAGGCTATTAGAGAGAGCTGCAAGTATAAACAAAGACATATCATAACATCAAACTTCACGCAAGTCTCCAGCACACAGACACTTATGCACGCATAAACAACAAGTCGCAAACGATCAGAATGTCATCATTGTCGGATAAACGTCAAGACAAGTACACAGTAGTCATAAAAACAAGCTTACAAGTGGTGATTAGGTGATTAGAGGTTACGTGTTCCGACAAAAAATAAACAACAAATAAGATGACATAACGTTAGCTTAGCTACGGAAGCCTAAAGTATCAGGCAACAATGTGTTTAAGACGTCAATAAAATACCTTTCCTGATAAGATAACTAGACTGTATTTAATATTTCAGAAGCTATTATATTTTTGTGCGTGTATTTAAGTGCACCCCTGCAGATTGGGATCGAGAAAAGAATACACCTGCTGCTATTGTACCACCACGGTATGTATCGTAAGAGGAGACTGTCTCCATGTTAGGGGAACCATCTGCATAATATGGGATTTGCTCTTGTGCCCTGTACTTCGGGACGCAAAAGCGACAAAAAAAATCTGCTTCTCTCCTTGTAATATTTGAAATCCTTATATTTTTCTCTTCTTCTAACTATGCTGGGATATACAAAAGTCCATAAAATGGTAGTTGTTATTCCCTGCTTAACGTTCAGCATTTAAGATCCACCCGTTGTCAGTATAGTGTGACCGGGCGGGATGCTATGCTGAGTTCACTATAACACTATAAAGTCGGCATCAGATCCACGCTGTCAAAGGGAGGCAAGTACATCAATATATCCTGTCTTTTACACTCATACACACATATACGCTAATACAGCACACATGAATACACGTCCTTAAATGATCTAAGCTGTTGATGAGACGTTACGAAAAGTGAAAGCAAAACAAACCAAGTATTGTGATGGAATGCTTAACGAGGGTGACAAAATGTTGGAAGAAATAAATACGGACATTTGATTCGGCCTGTGTTGATTAGGTTGCCAATATTTTTGAATCCCTGGTTATGTGTTCAACTGTAATATTAAAACATGTGTTGATTATATGTATTCCTCCCTGTAACATGTAATCAAACATTGTTCCGCGACCTCCTCATTGCCCGGGCGTCCGCATATAACAGCAAATAGCCATGAAAATGTATCTATCGAATTTCTGCATGTAAACATTCTTAACGTGATGCTATATGTCTTCATTTCACACAACAAGTTGCGCCCAATTAACATTTCTGACAATGTGGAATGTTGTCCGATGTTGTCTATCTTTGTCTTGATACATTTGGAAAGATTTTTTCTTCAGTCGCCATTTTGTCAGCAGAAGAGAAACAAGAAACGCTGACATCATGCTTTATGCCACAGTTTTGCAAAGCATTCTGCCCGTGAGATGGACAAATATAAAGTACATCTTGAAGTTGACGGGAACGTTTTGTTTGTCCGCTAGGAACTGTTTTGTATACCCTCATTCGACGAAGGAAACAAATCCACCGGCTTGCTTGTTCATACTTATGGGCTTTGACTGTTGGTCTTTCGTAATATAAAACATGCACGCATATGTTCTATGGTCCAATAATGTATGGTTATTTACCAATGAAAAGTGTCGTTACAAGACGGTAGTAATAGAACCTGCTGTTGTGGTAGATATCGTACAGGCAGAAGGTGTTCTAGTCAATATTGAAATCGTTGGCGGCTGCTCTCAGCCTTCGTTCATATATAGCTTAGGTTAAATCGAGAGCTAATGCTCAGAACCTTTAACTGTTATCAAAAATGTTTGAGCTGGTCGACGTACGATATGACTGACGAAGGAAATTTTATGAAATAAAAAACAATAAGAAGGCATGAACTATGTTTCGCATTTCGTTAGCAATTGCAAGGGTCATCTGGCTGTAATATATGCTTCGAAGGTCAGAGTTGATTACTCATTCATTCCTTTGTATCCATAGTAAATGTTAACGCCCGTTTAAAAAAAATATATATGTTCCAACAGTTAGTTGTGGCAGTCTTATTATCTTGATTCAAATATATTTTTCTTTGTGTCAGCAAGGTAACATGCTTTCAGACTGTAGCTTGTTTTGTTGTTAATATTAACTACTACACACAATCAGAAAATATAAATTGATGTTGAATGGTAATTTATTAATGACAGATTAAAAGATTGTGACACACATGTTCGCAATTTGTATTATCAAATACTAGTTATGTTGGAAAATATATATATCAAAAGTACATTTACTTCTGTTGTATATGTAACAAGAAAGGTGGGGTACAAATGATAAGCATAAGGTGCACTTTTCTACATATCATGAGTTCATCCATGTATGTATATTGCGCTCCTCATCGGTGTCTTTCATGTGTACCCCAAATGTGTTGTAACATATAAATTAATTCTAAAATGTTCTTAAACATGTTTGCCCCATCGAATGAACTACTAGAAGGATGTCAGCATTCTTGTCCGAGTATAAATTTAAGTGTATTGTAATACTACCGAAACACTTTACCGTTTCCTGTATCGTTCAAAATACAAGCGTGAAGTTGGTTACTCATTCAATATTGGGTCAGCCAAAAAAAGGACAGGCTCAATATATGGCAGGCCTAATATTTAGGCTAGTCTGATATTAAATTGTTTCTAAAATAAACAGTACCCCAGGCTTAAGAGTCCCACAGGGCACTTTTTCTGAGTTCAGTCTAATATCGTCATTTTTTCCTTTTGTACGTGTCAGGGCATATTGGTATAGGTCTTATGCTGCTTTTTACATATACACCACACCAGTGCATCCACTAAGGTATTCACATGCAAAAGGGCATCAGCGATACCCAAGGCTAAAGATGCTTACTGGGCACTTTCTTGAATTTCAGTTGTATTAGGGCACAATGTTACAGGCCATTGGGCACCTTTTCATACCTATGCAACAGTAGGGCATCGTCCAAGGTATTCACATGCAAAAAGGCACCATGACACTCCAGGCTAAAGATGCCCATAAGTCAGTTTTTTCGAATTTAAATCTAAAATAATTATCTTTTCGTTTTGAACGTGCCTGGGCATGTCTTATGCCGCTTTTTGCCACCTATAAATATTATATAACATGCTTTGACATTCATGGAAAGTGAGAAATTGTGATACTATTATTGAAATGTAAAAAATCCCAGATGACTGCTTGAAAACCATCGTGCTTTTTATCAGTCACCAAATGCAATATACCTCATTAATTAGGGTTGGGTATTGCCAACATTTTGATATGCTTCTTCAAAATGCAATATATATTGCAGGCTTTTAGGAACTATTCATGAGTCTGAGACCACAATGTATCCAGTCTCAGAGCTTTGTCTGACAGTTTGTGATTTCGTATTAGTGGAAGGCCGTTACCACCAATAAATTAATTCCTGAATGTCGTTTCATGCAAGCATATGCAAATCTGTATGAAACGGTAAAGTTACAATCCACACAGATTTTTTATTCTTGCATTTTTTTTTATCTCTCAGTTATCTCGGATACAGTTGTAGCTAACTCTCTCAAGAATACGCAAAATTATAATGAAATTTCTGCTTCGTATTTTGTATTGAAATTATGTAAATACAAAACGTAGTTTAAAAATATAAAGAAAGTATTTTTAGTGTAATGTATCAATTAGTGTTAGTCGATTAACCGGTCAATCGGTCGGAAGGACACGAACCGGTTACCAAAAGCAATAACTGAATATTCGGATTTTTACTTACCTCTTTGGGGAGCCCCTTATTTCCCTGGCTTCATCTTCAAATTATCAATAAATGGGACCAAAATCAGATATTTTTGTAATAAAAACAGTGTTCAGTGATAATATGTTAGTTTTAAGTTTGTGCTCAATTGCAAATACTGACAAAGAAATGCCGACAGCGCCATAAAAAATATTAACACATTTTTAAAAGGAAGCCAGGATAAAAAAGAAAAATGTGAAAAACTATTTTTAAGATATAGAACGTGCTTTTACATGCGAGATGTACATATGATTTGAAGTGGTCACACTTGAATGAACAAGCATGTCCTAACAATGTTTGTCATACTGTTCTTAAGAGCAATATTAACGCATATAATGTCGAGTACAGATACATGTAACTGTAATTGAATCCCCTCTTACTGCATTTCGACATTTGTTGTCTATGATATATACTTACTGAGGCTGCATGCAACTATTTCCTGCGACTATCCTGACATACGCGAGTAAACTATCATGGTAATTATTATATACATGTATGTGTGTGGTGTTTAAACGTTTTAGAACATTTTCTACACACATAATGTGTTTGTTGCTGTTTAATACTTGATTACAAAATTGACCTCCTAATCGGTTACTCGATCGTAAGATTGTTCGAGTTACTGGTTACCAAAATATGACCGGTTTGTCAACCCTAGTATCGATGAAAAAAACCATTACTTTTCCTCACACGATTTTTCTTCATGTTTTGTTACATTACAAGAGCACTGGGGCTATGTATGTACTCCTTAACATTATTTGTATTTTCTATCGTGCATATGTCAAATCTGCTCAGCGTTAGTGGAACTTATCAGGGCCTGATCACCAAGGAACGCGATGGATTGATCCTTTGCGGGGTTTCGTGATATCATTATATAACACGAATCGCGATAGATCTTGGTGATGCGGTCATCAATGCCCCTTATTAGCATTTGAATTAAAGGTCACAATTATTAACCGCTTGAACGAATATTTTGTCATGATGTCGGGAAGGCAAACTCTGACGACTCCCTAGGACTGGATATGTACAGATGTAAGTGCAGGTTGAAATTGCCATTCATTGGAGGTTTAGTTCCGGGCGACACAAATAACAGTTCGTAAGAAAGTTTGTAATTTGCGGAAATGGTCCCGTAGCTCTGAGTATAATTACACCTAGATGGTGAATTTAAGCTAATATTGTTCGGTTTTACAAAAATTGCTGATGTTCCCCGTTGCACTAGTAATGTAGATAGTCCATGCTTTTAAGATTATGAGTGCGTACAGCTTTATGTTTATTACCAAGACATTATAGACTTGATCAGGTTAACAAGATTAGAAAACGAAATATAGAAGTGTGTTTCGAAAATCTTGTCAGCAAGATTAAATTTTTTTTCATTATAAGACACTGTGCGACATTGTTGTAAACACAATTATGTGTAAAAAACGAAATATTTATTATTTTAGACTAAAATTTGAAAAGGTTTCGTTGATGCCCTTTCGCATGTGTAATAACTTAGATGATGCCCTGTGTAGACTATATGTCTGGAAAAGCGACATAAGACCTATTATTTGAGTGACGTTTGAATATCAACCTAGTCCAGTATAAAGCCAGCCCAACATTAATCAAGTCCACTATTTGGCTAGCTAGATATTGAATAAGTAACCAACTTCACCGTTGTGTAAAGTAGTACAAAAGTAAGGTTTCGGGCCAGGTTCATAATCATTAAGTACCCCCGGTACCCTCCTTGTGGCACCCCCTTTGGTAGGAGGGTTCCCAATTTGAGTGCAGCCAATACACAGTACGCTCTTTCCCATAACATGGGGTCTTGAAACATTCAAGGGTAGTTCACTCTCCTACAAATCGGTTACAATTTAGGCCAATGTAGCCATTTGACGTAGAGTTGTTTGTTACGGCCTTTTCCTCTAGTTTTCAATATGGTTTCCACCTTCCACATGTCATCTTCCATTACGTCAACTTTCTGTAGCTCGGACTGATAGAAAGTACCTTAAATTTCATCACCATCGTAATGCGTGACTCTTTACACAGGTAAGCCTCCACGAAGTATCTTTTGAGATGTGGTAAATATCTCCCCCGTCCAATTTTCGTCGTATTCCCGTGTGAATGGATTCCTGAGATGTGACAAACGCACTTTATCCCCTACTATAAACTTTACGAACTTATTTAGTCTTTCGAAAGATCGGCTCTTTCTACGGCCAGTACATCCTCCACCAGACAGATATTTCGTTATTTTTGTTAACCTTAGTTGGAGTTGTCCCTAGGGTCATGTGATACATCTTGTTGTAGCTGTCGGCGAACGTCTGGAGTTTTGTCACGTATTCGTAAATCCTTAAGTGTGTAAAAAATCTATACATTCTTGACTTGATGGTCTTGATAACGCGCTCGGACACGGCAGCCTTGGTTTCGTTCTCGGTATAAAGATGATGGATGTGGTATTGATTTAGAATAGAGTTTACTTCCTGTGATCTGTATTCTTGCCCCTTATCGGTGCGAATCCTGCTAGGTTGTCTCCCCTCGCTGAGAATCTCACGAAGAGCCTTTGTTGCGGATGCCCCTGTTTTGTCTTTTAGAGGATTCACCGATAGAAATTTTGAGTACACGTCTATCACCACGAGAACGTAGGAATAACCGTTGTTTTCTTTCTGAAACTTGACCATGTCCATGAGATCGGCAGATCATTGTTCGTCGATTCCAGTCACCAAGATTCTATTTCGTTTGAATGGTCTTCGGATAGATCGCTGAAGGCTGTACGGTTCTTGTCGCTGTAACCGTTTTCTTATCTTGTATTTCCTGATGACGTATTTTCCAGCTTTTCTCACGTATCGATACAATTTATCAGGCCCAAAGAAACTCCCAGCATTGGTAGGATCGTAATAAATGTCTCTTAAATAACCTTCCCTCCTCCTCCTCCTCCTCATATCATCATCATCATCATCATCATCATCATCATCCCACATCTCTTCTAAGACATGACGGTTCTTTTTGAGTGCAATCTTGATGGCTTTGCGATCCTCATAACCATCGTCAACGAATTCTACGACATCTTCCATGACTTTATCGTGAACCGATCCGTCTTGTTATTTAAGAATGTACCGGATAATTAACCCGTATTTTTCATTAAATAGATCCATGTCTTTAGATTTCATCTTTTCGTTTGCTTTCTCCTGGACTTTGCCTTCAGACATATCTTCAATTACGTATTTCTCATACTTTTGATTCCATTTCTCCTCGTTTGCAGATCTGACTTCATTCATCATGCTATCGAAAGCTTCGTGTTCTTCAGTATCTCTATTTCCTCGCCGGACTCCATATCTTCATATGCGATCCACCTTTTTGGTTTAGGCTCATCTTCTTCGTCTATAGATTCTTGTTTTCTTTTAAGGCTGTCGTTTTCCTAACACCATTTTTCCACGTGTCTCTGTAAATCATGCATGTCTTGGAATACAATACCACAATCGTCACAGGCAGGCATTGCTTCTGTTTCTAAGGACAGCTGTTAATGTTGTTGTTGTTGATGCTGCTGCTGCTGGTAATACGGCCGCTCGGTTGGAGTGTCAGCCTCAAAATGATCCTTAGTTTGGTCTTTCTGCCCTTTTATAGGCTGTCCAGAAAAAAACATCACTGCGCATACGTAATGACTCGCGTGTTGATGGTTTCATATCGACAAGAAGATACCCGTACGGCTTGGTGCTGGCTTCCTTGAAATGTCTCATCAGGTGTTAAACATTTCCAGGGTACATCTGTTTGGCTAAAGTCATGATCTGCTGTTTATCGATGGGATTATTGAACAACACCAAATAGTGACAATTTCTCCTCTGTGTGGGGTCTTTATTGTAGTAGAGGTTCTGATTGATGGCAAACACAGACATGTTTCTGTGGTGGCTTCCCTCCGTAAACTATTCGTTAATTGCTTGCTGTCGACATCAGATTGTCCAAGGCGACAAGGTTTCTTACTCCTGGATACAGGAAGGAATCCTGGTCTAAATCCAGCGGTATTCCCTGAATAAGTTCAACCTCTGGTATAACGGTTGTCTTGATAACGTCATAGAGGGGCTGCCATCGTTTGTAGAGCCATACAATCCTTTGTGGAGGAGGTGATATTTTGGTCAAGCAGTTTTGTAGCAGTAACTTGACAAAGTAAATCTTTCCACAAGACGTTGGTCCCGATACATTTTGCAGTGAAGGGGTGTTTAAAAACGAAATTCTGCTGCTGCTGGGTAAATAAAGCATATACCGGCTGCTTCATAATGTCTATGTAGGATTGTTGCTGCTGCTGCTGCTGCTGTTGTTGTTTTGTTGTTGCTGCTGCTGCTGCTACTGCTCCTGCTGCTTCGTGACTCCATCTCCATTGATGTGTGTGTCGTACGTGACGTTTTATATCACTCAAGCAAATATGACACTGGTACTTCATATCGATGTGCACTCTTCGGTGTTCAGGTATGAAATGAGATTTTTCCAGTCGAATCCTCTATTTATACTCTCACAGGTGTTGCATTAGGTTAAATGTAAATAATAAGACAATTGCTAGTTTATGACATTTTATTACATGCACCAAAGATACGTCATATGTACAATAAAGAACCTACTCTAGCATGGACAATTTACACATTTGTATTACTCAGTGTCATCTACAACCCAATTTGTAGTACTCAGGCGATCTCGTGTACATCTTTTCCATGAAACAAGGTCCTGACATGTGACCTTTCTAGGGTAGTTCACTCTCCTAACTTGATATTCTTGACCATACGCGTAGCTAGTGATCCCATCGTCGAGCAAATATCGCTTGTCGTCGAATGGTGATATACCCCTTTTGGTCATGGACACGTTGTAAAGCTGGTGTCTATATCTGATTCTTTTGGGACAGAAAGACTTTCTTTTGGAGAAGACATTTCTTATAATGCCCGAAACGGGTATGATTTTCGATCACATATTTCTTGATGCCTTTAGCTTTTTTCGATTCTACGTAAGTTTTTACCTCTTTGCCATCTTCCGTAACGTCATGTGTGTAGGCATACATTTCGGCCTTGAGTCTCACAATGGCATTAATGGCGTTTCCGTGGGTCTCGTCCTTCATTTTCCCGCACTCTTTCTTGTTTGTTAAGCTGTAGAGGAGGTGGTCTTTCTTATACTTCGATGTGTCGAATAAGTGTCGGTCTTCTAGCATGTCTTTGTAGATGTCCTCTGTTCTGATGATGTAGACCAGATAACATGTGTCCGTAAAAAGGAGGTATGCCCTCTTTCCAAATTTTTATTTGATGTAGTTGTTATGGAAGTCATATATCATTGTTTTGGAGATATCCAGGATGGAGAATCCGACATAGATGGGTCGGTTCAAAAAAAGTTTCGATTTAAGCATGTGGACAGCTACCAAATCCTCCGTGAAGATCCTGAATTCATGGAATGTGGGCTTACATGTTAATTTCATGGCCTTCTTCTCACTGTTGACAAGTTTGACATCCATCCTCTTCCTTAAATTTTCCATAGTCTTCCCGAAAATGCTGTTGTTCAATAACTTGTAGAAGTCTTGCTCGAAATTGTTTCTAGATTGTTTCCTTTTCTCCGTATTGTAATCAATATTCGTCTTCAACCATGGAGACTGTTTGAAGGTTAATACTTTGTGGACTTTTGTGAGCTTCATTCCAAAAGAAAGATATTGTTTCAAGTTCCTATAATGCAGGACATATTTTTCCTTGTTTCTAAGATTAGGAACGAGTTTTTGTGCGGAATTGTAATGATCCAAACAGTCATATGGCTTTTCATCATCATGTGGCTTGCTTTCCTCAGTCTGTCAGCTTATGCCATAAGGTCTTACTGTAGTCAGACAATTCGTCTTTCCCCACGGCTACTCGTTCTGGGGCCAGTAGATATTCGTTGTGTGGGTCGTGGAGTGCTGGAGGATACTCTAAATCCACTTCCAATATATATCCATCTGTCGCATCATCGGGAACTGTTGTGATATCAATCGTGTCTTTGCGGTATCGGTAAGCCATGCGAAGTCATGAGTTGGCAGGCATTGTGACATGGCCCAGCCATACAAGTTATTGGCGTCTAAGTAAGTGATGTAATATGTTGGTTTTGTTTTGTAGTGTCCGGGAACGTATGGATTGTTGGTCTCAGCAAACCGATAACTAATCATTGATACGTGTCCCGCAAGCCTTTCTCGATAAATAAGCGCTGATCGATGTCGGTAAGCAGTTCGAGTCTAACATCGGTTATTTTTAGCGCTGCTTGCCATGCTAGTCAAGAGGCGGTATAACAATGAGCTGCATCGAGCACATATGATTCCAGACATAGTTGTCGGAAGTTCTCAAACACATCAGCAAGACCCAGAACATCTGTTATGACATACAGGTCCGAATATTCACCAAGATTGTGTATACATAATTATTTCCAGACTTTGAGAGTGTGATCGTATTTTTCATCGAATACGTCCTCTCCCGTCAGACTTCTACGAAACGCTTCCTTTGGCGGTAATACAGTTTCTTGAAATCTGTGAGGACCATCAAAATAATCATATGGGTACACCTGCTTTTTTAAAAGGTGCTCGATTTTCTCCTCACCAAAATGTTGTGTCATGTGTTCAAATTTATCCTTTCCTTCCTCGGATAAATTTGCGATCAGTTTATCCAGTGATGCGCCCATAAACTGGAAGCTGTCGATAAAGTCCATTCACCCTATGGAGAAAGAAATGTACATATCCATGTTGTTAGGTATACACTTTATTTCCTTATCTGACACTTTTCCAACTGCCTGCATGATTAGATTGGAATCGTAACCCCTCCGATTGTGGAAGACGACCGGAATCCGTCCAGTAAATTTGAAATGTATGTTGCACTCATTGTGAACTACTCCTCTAAACGCTCCTGTCACGTGGCAGTGGTTCCTCACTCTGTCATCTCCTAACTCCTTTCCACAAATGTTCCAATCGCTCCCAGTCATGACCATCGCCTTCACGTTTTTGGATTTTTGTTCTATGTCCTCCTGTTCTCTCAGCATACATTCTACAAACGTATCAGTAACATCCGGTCCTCTGTAGACCAAAGGTTTCTTAGATGTTGCTTGTGTGAGCCCTACGACTTTGTAAGCGAAACTAGAAGGAACATGTTGTGTGGTCTTCTCTGTATGTGATTTGTTTGGGTCAACCTCACATCTATGCATCAGCACTTGGAACGACTCGAAGTCCGCATATATGATGGAAGGCACTTTAAGCTTCTTTCTTACATCCTTATAGAACAACCATTTATCCTCTTCTGTAGATAGTTTTACTTTCTGTGTCCCATGTTCCCGACAGTATGATATATGGTAAGATATAATGTTTTTTACATGTGTGTTGATCGCTCAACAGACGATCTACATTCTTTATCCAGCAGTAGTGGGACTTGCATCCATCCGTTATCAGCAGTAAATCTACGTGTCTGTCAAATATTTGCTTTGCCACGTGGATTGGAAATAATGACCCCTTCTCATATCCGAGGACGTTGACCGTGATCTTATTCTGTGTCTCGAATTTATTGATGTCGGCTACTTTCACAGGGAGGGATATACCATCAAAGTTCAGCTCGTGTTGGTGACCTATGTATTTGCTGATACGCTCAGGATGATTTTTGGTCGGATAAAGAGCAGCCAGTACCGACCATATGAAGCACTTCTTGTCCTTGTTTTGGACGTTGATGATGGCGTGTTTAGACCTCAGTTTGATTGGCAGCGGAATATAGCTTGATCCTTTCAGGGGTTTATATTTTGCAAAGTGTATCTGGATTTGAATCACCTTATCCAATGTCCAGTTACTTCCCTGTCGTTGGTATTCTGTAAACGAATTTTGAATTTTTCTGATGGATTCCTGCATACCTTCATCGATGTCGGATGAATTAAAAGTAATCTGACACTTTCCGCGAAAATGTGGCGAAACCACCGTTCCACTGTCTCCTCTTTCGGATTTGAGAATTGTACTTGAATAGATAAATACCATTTGACACCTCCCTGGACCATAGATTTCTCTAATTTCTTCTTTATTGTGATGAAGAAATGTCATGATGTCTAATTTGGCTTTGGCCTATGCAGGTAGAGTGACAACTTGAAGATTCCCTTGAGTGCTTCCTCTGAGCATTCCTCAGTCTCCGTTTGGTGGATCACCGGTTTGGATGTGGGGTCTACAGCCGGAAGTGTCTGTGTAAGGTCGTTCTCTTTGTTCTCGTCTTTATTTTCATCCACCACTCCTCCCTGCTGATTAAATATATGGTTCTTCAAATGTTCGCGGTATTTGTCAGTCCTCCAGAAAGATTTTCAACAACACAAATGCAGTGGTTCCCCGTGGACTTTCATGTGCCATGTAAGCCTACCTTTCCTTCCGAACTCCTTTTGGCACACATTACATATCCATTGTTGACTCCATGACTAGATGTATGTCTATTCAATGCCTTCTGGTGTTCAAACGTTTTATCACAATGGGGACATGACCATTTACCCTTCTTATCCGGGTGTGAAATACTGGCTAAGGCCTTCCTCTTCGACATGCTGAAATGTATCGCAGTGTTCTGTAGAGTTACTATAGTCACTCTGACAAGATCTTCCTCCTCTGATTGTCTTCCTAAGAATGATTATTGCTTGATTCCATGCCTTTATTTATACCCTCTGTAACCATCGATGACATTCGTGTAATTTCATTGGCTAAATCAAATTTTACAGATTTATTTTGTAAATTTTGTTTCATTTGTCTTTTTATTTTTAAAGCGATCGGACGCATTTTAAATTTCTCCCAAATCAATCGGAACCTGAAAAGTTTTTTTTTTATTTATTTATGTTGCTGATAGTGAGCCTCGAAGCCTAAATGTTGCGACACTGAAGCTAAGGTACCACCGCCCTAGCTGTCACGACCAAACGCGCCCCGACATTGAAGGTGTATTTCTAAACTATGTATACACAGCGAGGTTAAATTTACCTACGTGATACGATACACATATAGATGTTTGTATACACATACCTCTGCCATTTGCAATGATGACATACACGGTGAATTTATCGCTGTGGAAGGGAAACATACAGGTTTGCAGATTAACGAATTATACCGGGATAGTAAAACAGTAAACTATTATAACTTATGGCAGAAATGTTGAAGGCTGTAATGTATACAACACGATATTTGTTAAACAAAATTGTCCGTTGGTAGCGTAGTTAAATGTGGGATTCATTTACAGATACATTTAGAGTACACATAAAGAACGTAGGCTATACGTTATTGGAAATGCTATAATACAGTTCAGTTTTGAATGCGTAGAAAATGTTTGGTTAACATAAAAAGTGTGTGACCTAGTCAATTTGGTTTTATACAACGGAGTCAGACATAAACAAACAGCGAGAGCTGTCTGTGAATATTCGTTGTAAGAATGGACGTTGGGTGGGTCTCTGACCCGTGTTTTTTCTATCGACAGAGACAATAAATGGTTTTGCATTATATTTGCGTTGTTATTGTATTATGTGCTAGAAGGTTCCAGGACATCACCGATCCGGTTGAAACCGGTTTCGATATTTCTAAACGTGATGCAATCGGGAAAAACCCGTGACGTCGTCGATCGGTATCCTCATATAGAATGGGGGTTGCCACTAGAGGGTGTATTGGCTGCTCTCAATATGGGAACCCTCTGTGACGTCGATCGGTACCCCCCTACCAGACGGGGGTGCCACTAGGGGGGTGCCGGGTATTATAGGATTATCATTAAAGCAAAACATGTCATTAACATATTTTCAATGACCTTGATAGCTCTGCGCTGGTCTTTTACGATTGGCTGACTTAAGATAATATGCGACCTAGAGATAGTCTTGTTCCAAACTATCATTGTTCCCACTACATTTCGTATATATATTACATACATTATACCAGCTGACCGACCTGTTCATGCAGTAGATACTTAACAAACACTTGACGGTGCAACGTGCGGTTAAATAGAGATAAGCGTGGTTGCTAAAGGTAGTATGTGCATGCATATACAATGGCGAATTAGGTAACATATTTAGGTCATCTACGGCAGCTGAGAGCAGTAGTCAAATATTTTAAAGAGTCGTTATAAAAAATGATTAAAAAGGGAGCAATTTCTAGTTAAAAAGGTCTCGTTATCAGTGAGAAGAAAACAAGAATGTGCGGTTTTCATCTGTATTTAGCTAAGTAAGAACACTGTATGATGATATCTATATACATGATCACGTGCGTTTTATTGATCAATACTTTCTATGCCCATCTATGATATAATCAGCGATGGGTTTCGTCGATTGACGTGTTACAAACATGGCACCTCCTGCCATGGGAAACATGGTACATAGTACATGATAACATTCTATGGAAAGGTGTTCGAATGCCGACTGATTTTTTGGCGGCTGTTCTAGGCCATCGTACTTATCTAGCATCGGTTGAATTGATATTAGTTATTGAATCAGTTAGCATTGAAATGGCGGAGCTGGTAGACGTACGAGACGACGAGGGGAATTTCGGGAAATATAAAAAGTATGATGGCAGATACTATGTCAAACATTTCGTTGGCAATGTCAAAGATCATCTGGCTGCAATAGACTCGATGGACGTCAGAGATGATGACACTTTCATTCTCTCGTATCCAAAGTCAGGTTAGCATTTTCATGTTTTTAAACGTTGAGACATACATATACGGGCATTTCAAGTCATATCACATGAATATTCAAAGCCAATTCAAATTTCTCAGTTAGAATAACAAATATTCTGCACCTGTTTTAAGCCCTTCTTAACTTTTCGAAATGGCAGAACTTATTATAAAGTATCACTTATACTGTTTTCAAAAATGTTCAGCGATACAGAAACAAAATATGAATACATCGTTTGTGTTCCACAACAAAAATATTCCATTGTACAGAAGCGATGTATAAAAGCTGGTCGCCTTCATCATCCTAGTTAAGTCGAATATTCGGCAAATAATATCTTCGAATATTCGGATGAAACCAGCGTCAATTCCATTTTCTCCGCGACTGCTTCATTTGGGGTATATCTACCTACACCCGCTATTTAAATACTACATATCCTGATAAATATTGCCAATTACACCACATCATATCACCATTGTTTAATCACAGATGACACCGTGCTACCAAATGATTTGATGAAAATTGTTTAATTTATTGATGAAATGTCGAACGAAATATCGTTATATCAATCAACAAAAATGTCTCTAAAACACGCAGAAGTGCATGAAAATATATATCTATGTTATCTTTGTCTCTTAAAAGGAACTCATTGGGCATTTACTCTTGCCAGCATGCTTCGTACTGGAGAAACTGTCTACAAAGGATCGCCGACATTCTTAGACTTCACCGATAAGGACACACTTGATAATCTCCCGTCCCCTAGAGTATTTGCGAGTCACATGACCTTCGACTTCATGCCTAAACAAGTTAAGGAAGGGAAGGGCAAGGTCATTGCAATATTTCGGAACCCAAAAGATGTTCTCACATCACTCCACACGTTCATGAAAAAATTAGATGTATTAAAAGAAGATTACAAAATGACATGGAAAGGCCTTCTCAATTTTCACATGGAAGGAACAAGTAAGTTACCGCTTAAAGACCCATACCACTGCCCAATTACTGTATTATTTTTATACCAGCAATTAAATAACCTTGATAAATGATTTCTGATACTAAAACCAAGCCTTGCGATACTTTTATATAAAAGAATTAAGATAAAATATAAAAATATAGAGGGCTAGACCGGAATTCGAACCCTGAACTTCAAATTGTTATACTATTACTGTACCTGTTCAACGAAAGTATATATACATACCAGTGTTAGATGTTTTCCCAGTTGGTATGAACGTATGGTAATTTCTATTATAGTTTTCTACGGTTCCTGGTTTGAATATATACAGTCTTGGGATAAAGTGAAGATAGAGCACACGGGAAATAATATCATGTATCTCATGTATGAAGACATGGTACAGGTGAGCTAATTACCTATTTATCTCCAGGTAAAATATAAATAAAAAACTTTAGCGTTAACATAAACAAGCACAACCAAACATATATGTCCAATATTCTTTCGATCAATTTAATTGTAACTATGTCGAAGTTTCTTTTAAACTGAGTGATTGTGTATGTTCAATGCTGCTTAATGAACGAAAATCGATAATTTTATTTCGGTGACTAATAGTTTTATAGAACTGCATCGTAATCATGAAAACGTCTCGGTTAATAAATGTATATTAAACTTATTTAACCTCTTATTGACCGACACAGGCGTTGTGTTTTGTTCTTTTTTTCTTTTCGATTTCTATTTAACATTTCCTCTTTAGGACCTGGGCTCGCACGTACATAAGTTGGCGTTGTTTCTTGGAGACACTTACGGATCAGACTTCGTGGACAAGGTTACTGCAAGATGTACATTTAGCAACATGGCCGAAGAGGCCACGAGGACATTCACACCATCCGAACAGTGGAAGACCGTTACCACCACAAAAACACTCCCAATCTACAGGAAAGGTACGTGTATTCAGACGGGGTCTAAGTTTCATTATTTATACATTGTAACGCTTGATATTTAATGTTTTATTTTTTTTGTAATCATTTCGATTGACCATTCAAATACCATGTTACATGGCAAATTAATTCAACTTTTATTTTTATTTTACAGGTGTGATTGGTGACTGGAAAAATTATTTTACAGTGGCTCAAAATGAACATTTTGACAAAGTGTACAACGACAAAATTAAAAGTTCTACATTCAAATTTCGATTTGTATAACAGATTTATAATATGTTTGATATACGTTGTAAGTCGATAATTTGTAAAATACATTATCGTTTCCGTATTAAATGTTCTCAATAAACAAACTTTGTAAAGTTGTTCTTTTAATTTGCTATCCATAGCTTAATTTGAAGTCCTCTTTCGCAAAATAAATGCAATATTAAACAATTTTTTTGTTCGTTGTCTTGAAAATGTGTTATTCTACTTTTATTTTCCCCTCGCAACGACAGTTCGAGTGGATATAGGATTCCACCCGTACGTACGTAAGTAAGTACGTATGTACGTATGTTACACTCTTTGTCATCGCTCTAGCGACTTCATTACGGAACGGAAAATCATGACACTTCATACAATTATGTAGTATGAACAATTCGAGTGTCGGGTTTCTACGTTCATTTCCAAGGTCACTGTTACTAATTTTTGAATAAAACATTGTCATCGGTCTACTGACTTCATTAGTGAGCGGAATGTTATGAAACAAGTGCGTGTACGGCAATGCGTTGGACACGTTTGCATTTCCGGTTTCTATGTTCAAGGTCAAGGTCACTGTTTTAAGAAGAACTTTGTCATCGCTCTACTGACTTCATTCCTCAACATAATTTCCAGAAAATGTATACAAGTATTTGGTATGGAAATATCGTGAATAAGTGCGCGTTTCAGATTACTGCGCTAAAGGTCAGGGTCACTCTTACTAATTTTACCAAAAACTTCGTCATAGCTCTACCGTCTTCATTTTCTCTTTAATATGTCACAATGTGTGAATACGAGTGGCTTTGTATCACTTATGATGCGTTAATGCATTGTTGCAATAATAAATTATGAAATGTGAAAGTTACCTGTAAACCAACTGGGAAAAATGGCCCCTTTTTGGAATCCAAAGAATCTTTTCAAGACAGGGCTTTTTTCAATGATGACTTGTTTTGTATATGTATTTGACTTCAACAACCTTAACCTCAGGGCATGTTATTTAGGTCGCCTTATTTCTATATCGGGGTTTCTTTTTTATATATGTTTGGCTACAGTTATATCCAAGGCAATAATAATGTTCATAATTGAAAAATAAGGATAAACTTGTATTTTCATATCTGCCCTGCTCCGTCATCGGCATTAACATCTAATATATGACCAAACCACGTACAGATTTCAAAGTGACATCAATCTGATAAGATAATGTATGTGTACTCATGTGAGGTAACATGATATCAGGAC